CAAGTAGCTCTCCACCAGGGAGCTCGCCACCAGGCAGTTCGCCACCAGGCAGTTCGTCACCAGGCAGTTCGCCACCAGGCAGTTCGCCACCGGGCAGTTCGCCACCAGGCAGTTCGCCACCAGGGAGCTCACCACCAGGCAGTTCTCCACCAGGGAGTTCGCCACCAAGTAGCTCATCACCAAGGCACGTCACCACTGGGTCAAATAACGAGGTACTTAGCCAAAAAAAAAAATTATACATCACAAAAAATTGGTACGTGACCAGAAACGGTTACATCAGGTGGGTATGGGTGGATATTTAAGCAGGTGGATCAAATGGGTTGGGGTCAACATTACCACCCCTATGAAGAGCTAAGAAGGGCAAGAAGGAAGGGAGTGAGATTCCACAAGAAGCTACGGGGGTTAAGATCCAAACTTTAGGAGTGGAATAGAGACCATTTCAGAAGAGTGGAGAAACTAAAGTTGAACCTTATCACTCAAATTGAGGTTTTGGATGAGGAGTCCCAAGGGTTGTTGAATGAACAAGAGAGAGCAAAGAAGACAGTTGAAGGACCTAGAAGATGTGTTGCTAAGGGAGGGGATTTGCTAGAGACAAAAATCAAGGCATCAATGATTAAGGAAGGCGATGGGAACACTAGATTTTTCATGATTTGGCCAATGACATTGAAGGAAAAACTTTATATAGCCAAATTAGAAGTAGATGGGGAGGTAATTACAAATCAGGAGGAAATAGCTAGAATCTTTGTCAACCATTTCAAATCTTTTTATGGAAGACCTTTGCATGAGAGGCTACCCCTAGAAGGATTGGATTGGCCAAACTTGGGAGATGAAAAAGCACCTTGGTTGGAAAGAAGTTTTGAAGAAGCTGAGATTAGAAGGGTAGTGTTTTTGATGAATAGGTCTAAGGCATTGGGCCCAGATGGTTTTACAATGGCCTTTTATCAAGACTGTTGGGAGATTTTGAAAGAGGATCTTTGTGAGGTGTTTAGAGAGTTTGCAAATAATCATATAGTAAGCCCAGGAGTCAATGCTACTTTCTTGGCTTTAATCCCTAAGATGGTTGATGCTATCCTCCCTAAGGATTTTAGACCAATAAGCCCAATGACCAGTATTTACAAAATTTTAGCTAAGGTATTGTCCTTGAGGATTAAAGATGTTCTTCCCTCCTTAATCAGCAAATACTAAGGGACTTTTTGTACAAGGGAGACAAATCACTAACCAAACCTTAGTAGCTAATGAATGCTTGAAGAGAAATGAGAAGATCTAAGAAGGGCTTTGTTTGCAAGATAGATCTAGAAAAGGCCTATGATTTGGCAGATTGACAATTCCGCTTACAAGTCCTGAGAAAGTGTGGGTTTGGAGAAGGGTGGTGTTAGTGGATTCATGGTTGTGTTAGTTCCAATCACTTCTCTATCTTGATTAATGGAGTGGTAAATGATTTTTCCCAGCTTGTAGGGGTTTAAGGCAAGGGGACCCTCTCTTACCTTTCCTTTTCACCTTGTTAGTTGATGTGTTAAGTAGAATGATTTCAAAGGTTGATAGTGAGAATTTAATAAGTGGATGAAAAGTAGGCAGGGTTGGAGTGTCAGTTACCCATCTTCAATTTGCAGATGATATTCTAGTTTCCAGTGAAGGGGACCTTGAGAAGGCAAGAAATCTAAAGACTAGTGAAAATGTTTGAAAGTATGTCCAATCTGAGAGTTAACCTTGAAAAGAGTAGTGTGGCAGGGATAAATTTGGATAATAGAGAGGTGAAAACGACTATAGGGTGTTTAGAGTGCTTTGTAGTAACTTGGCTAATGACCTACCTATAACTTCCTTTAAGGGCAAACCCTAGGGAAAGTAGTTTCTAGTATTCAATATTAAAGAAGTTCAAGAAGTGATTGGCTGTGTGGAAGAAGAATTATATTTCTGTGGGGGGTAGGATTATCTTGATTAGAGTCACCATATTTAACCTACTAACCTACTTCTTGTCAGTCTTTAGAATCCCTCTAGGGAAGCTAAGAAGCTAGAAAAGTTGATGAGGGATTTCCTATGGGAACTAGGAGAGAGTAGAAAGGATCATCTGGTGAAGTGGGAGGCGGTTTGTAGAAGTAAAGAAGAGGGAGGTTTGGGAATAGGGAACTTAATGCAAAGGAATACGACATTATTGGGGAAATAGTTATGGAGATGGCCATTAAAGAGAGAGAGAGAGAGAGAGACTGTGGCATGAGGTGATAGGAAGTATTCATGGTCAATTGGAGAATGGATGGGATGTTGGAGTTTCTCGGTGAACAACTTTGGAAACCCCTTGGAAGGAAATTCACAGTGTTCTCCCTCAACTTTACAAATTTCTCAGGTATGATGAGTGTACTAGTAATTCAGTTCTTCTTTGGGAAGATATTTGGGTCGAAGAGGCTCCTTTGAAGGACCTCTTTCCGTCCTTATTCACTATCTCTCGATATAAGAAAGAGCTGGTGTCAAAATTCTATTCCCCCTTGGAATCTTCGTTGACACCGGTTTGGGATTTCAGTTTTCGGAGAGGTTCAAGGGATGATGAAATTGTGAGTCTAACCCACATGTTGAGTAGTAGAATACCCTTGAAAAAGTTTATCTGGATCCCACAAAGCCAGATAAAAGGTTTTGATAGTGGGTAGTATTCATGGGGTTGTAGACAATGGTTGGATTCTGGGATTCTGGCAAGGACTACAAGAGCATCTCCCAAGAAAGCTATTTAAGCTATTCTGCCTTTGTTCTCTCCATGGATCAGGTATGACTTGCATCCAGGCAATCTAATTAATTTTTGGGAACATGTTTGGATAAGGGATTCTCCCTTAAAAGACCAATTCCTGAGCCTTTTTGCTCTTTCCACATTTAAAAATGAACTGGTTTCTCTTTCCTTTTTCCTTCTAATTCTGCTTCTGGGGTCAGCTGGAACTTGGGCCTGAGAAGAGATATCAAGGACACAGAGCTTGATTGTATTTTATCCTTGTTATCCATTCTTGAAGGGGTTTTCCTAGAGCCAACAAAGGCAGACAGTAGAATTTGGACTCTCACTCCCTCGGGTTCTTTCACTTGTGCCTCTTTTTTTTAAAGCTCTAACACAATCTTCCTCCTCTGGCTTGTCATTCCCTATTAAAGAGGTGTGGTGTCATCCTATACCTCCTAAGGTTGGGAGTTTCTATTGGGAAGCCTTTCTGGAAAGAGTTAATACAGCAGATTTACTTCAAAGAAAAATACCCGATAGTTGTTTTTGTCTTCACTGGTGTGTTCTCTGTAAAGCTGATGGTGAATTTGGATATCATTTACTAATTTCCTATCGGTTTACTAAAGTCATTTGGGAATGGTGTACTTCTCTGTTTGGGTGCAGGTGGACCCCCCTCCCCCTTCAAATGCGCAATGCTTATTCAATTCTATGCCAAATTGGCCAACAAAAAGGGCCAAGATTATGTGGAGGAGTATGAGGGCAGCAATCTATTGGATTATTTGGGAGGAGAGAAATTCTCGGATCTTCTCAGATAAGGAGAGAAGTTTGGAAGTAATTTTGGAGGTCATCCATATTAGGGTTATACACTGGCTGAAAACCTTGGCTTTGTTTGCAGAATTCTCAGTTGATGAGTTGCAAAGAAAATGGAAGGAGAAGCAGAACTTGCTCCAATAAAGAAGGCCTCAAACTCTTGTTGGCTCTCTCCACCTCATGGCTTTACTAAACTGAACTTTGACGGCGGCATGGGTAATCCAGTGCCATCCGGAATAGGGGGAGTAATAAGAGATGAATAGGGGAATTTGTTAGCTATGTTTTCTGGACCAATCGGGGTGGGAAATTCCTTGAGGGCTGAGATACTTGCAGCTCTTGAAGGGGTACAAAGGATCAAGGATATGCAAATTAACAAGCTGATCATAGGAGATTCTGAAGTGGTGGTAAACTGGCTAAAAGAGAATAACTCTAGACTTGGGAATTACAGCAATGAAAAGAGGAAATTTAAATGGCTGACTAAGGACATGGAAATTCAGTACAAATGGGTAAAAAGAAGTGAGAACTCATTGGAAGATGGTCTAGCGAGACAAGGGGTGAACAGAAATTCTATATTTTGGGCTGTATTGTAATCGTTTTTTTGGTGTTCAATGGTTGTTCTTGGGAGCTAAGACTGTTTAGCTCCCTTGCTCTGTAACTTTTCATTTTAATAATTTTAATACAATTCACAGTTATTGATAAAAAAAAAGAACCATTGGAATGACCACAAAATTGGAATCAACATTGGAATAATTTATATTCCATGAACCTTCATAAATAGTTTATATTTCTTTTATTTACTTTTATATCTATTTAGTCCTCTCAATGAGTATTTCAGCAATTGTATTACTTAAAAGTAGATGGTTTAACAAGGCAGCCCACATATATGGACTACACAACAAACTCTTTATTGTGTTTTTGTTTTCTCCATTCTATATTACTTTGATTGATTCAAAATTGGAATGGTATCAGACCCTACCCAATCAGATAAAACTCAGGAGTGATAAAGATTGCTAGACTAGACAGAAGTTTGGAACTGTAGTCAATGGCTAGAAGAGTGATCTCTAGTGCATTTAGAGGTAAGTTGGGTTTAATTGATCACTTCTACTGGTGGTTTCTATTTCATATTTCTAAGTTGTTACAGAACCACTTCCCAAATGCTACCCTGAGCTCCACTGTTCCACCGGTGGTCTTAAGCTGTAAAGTAATTCAAAAGTATCCTCAAAGGAGTTTCCAAGTCCCTTTGAAAAACATGCCAAACATTCCCTTTCAAACAGCTGTTGTTTATAGTTATACCACAATAAATAGATATGACTGAATTGTCCTCAACAGTAGCAAATTAGACAATACATATTTTATGTCTGAGCTGGTCTGGTATTCAAATAACCATAGCATAAGCCACATCATTTGACAAATTTCACTAATGTGAGAGTTTTTCATGAAATGACATCATTTTCACAAACCTTCTTATTCCATCCATCATGAGTATGCATTAGAGTAGTTCAACTGAACTCAAGCTTAAGCCGAACTTTTTTTTTGATAGGGCACAGCAAAAAATTTTATTAAAGTTCAGTGATATATACAATCAGTACAAGATTCCCTTAGGTTCGAGATGCAACCTCTCACTTAAAAACAGAGAAGAAAAAACAGATTACAACTGAGCCAAATTAAATTGATCTCTGTTGACCCCTTGCTTGGCCAGAGTTCCCCTCATCTGTTAGATGATCTTCTAGCCCATTGTATTCTCAAAGTCATGTTACTGGTTCACCATTTACAAGTATTTATTTCCTCTCTATAGGCCCAAATGACAGACTCCAGTTTCATCAACCATCCCACCACCAACTTGGAGTCCCCTTCCACAACCAACTTGTTCATATTCCAGCCTCTTGGCTCTTGCTAATCTCAATCCTGGAATTACGGCAAGGAATCCAGCTCTAATTGAATCCCTTCTACCACTGGACCCAAAAACAAAGCAACACATTGACCATCCTTTTCTTAACCCCTCCCCCCCCCAAAAAAAAAAGACCCAAGGGACTTGGATTACCATGACCGCCTACAATCAAATTTCAGTTGATAAAATCTAGCCTCTCAGCTCTTGCTAATCTCAATCCTGGAATTACGGCAAGGAATTCAGCTCTAATTGAACCCCTTCTACCACTGGACCCAAAAACAAAGCAACACATAGACCATCCTTTTCTCTAATCCCTCCCTCAAAGACCCAAGGGACCTGGATTACCATGACTGCTACCATCAAATTTCAGTTGATAAAATCTCAACAGGAGGTACCTAGACAGAGGGATCCAGTATAATTCTTGAAGAACTATTTGCTACTGTTGCCCAGTTTCAACAAATATCTACATGAATCCTTTCCCAAGTTCCACCACTGTACTCCATTCCTCTCCCCTGCTTCCCCCAAGAAACACTCCACCCCATTGGTCCACAAAACTGCAGTAATGACATATTGCAGACTTGGATACAGAAAAGGGAACATGAGGTGAAGGTTTGGCACATGAAGAAGATCGTATACAGAGCCTTGATATAGAAAAGGGAAACAGATCATCCAAGGAGCCTTGTTACAGATCATCCACAAAACTGCAGCAACGAAAGTTTGCAAACTATACAGAAAGGGAACATGAGGTAAAGGTTTGGCCACATGAAGAAGATCATCTACAGAGCCAGTAAGAAGTGATCTGTTACAAGTACTGGAAACGATTTAACCAAAATGTAGCTATGAACTGAATTGTGTCCCTTGATAGAAACAAAATCCCTTGCCAGATTCATCCATAAACATAGTAATAAACCCACTTGCTCACCCATTATGACCACACTGAGATTCATATGGGTAAGAGTAAAGAACCAAGCTCACAAATACTTGTCAAAGGAACAAGTTTCTATCTCCTGCAGCAACCAATATATGCCAAGTGTTAGTATATGATCCATCTAAATGCTCCAATAAGACTAATATACTAGGAAATATAAATCATTAACATGAACAGAAAATTAGAACCAAATCATTAGTATGAATAGAAACCTTGGGAAGTGTTCACAGTAACTTTGGGGTTAAATGAAACCAGTTTCTCCTCTGTAGGCAAGTTTGTCACTTGAAATGATCTTGCTATCTATCTTGAGAAGTTGGTTGGCAATCTTGATTGTGATTTATGCCAAAAAAGTATTGTGGCGGATTCATAACAGATCCCTACAAAAAAATAATAAAAAGTTAAAATATAACAACCTCTGCTACTAATATTTAACATTTTATAACTATTTTGATGTTTAATACCATACCTGGTTCATCTGACTATTACCATCAACTGTGCCTGAAGCTATTGAAGCCTGCAAAAAAATACAGCACCCATTAAGGAAAACTCTAATGTTATTTAAAATAGAAAAAAAAAAAAGAATATACAGAATTGTTAGAACTTACATGTAGCAACCCTGTCATTCTCAATTGAGGTGTGTTGGTATTCATTATATGTTGTTGATATATACTAGCAAACCGATTAAGATCGAGACTATGTGCCATATTGGCATGAACACCAGTTAATTCCTATTCAACGAGAGTGTAAAAGAATAAATAATTAAAAATGTAATAGAAAAAGAATCAAAATAAAGTATGATTTGATATAATACCACAACAGGTTGAGATGAAGGTTGAACTTCCATGGTTGTAGTAGCTGGGATTTGTGGCTCAGGTTGGGAATTATTTTTACTTCTCTTTCTTTTCTCAAAAGGTTGCTTTGTTCTATCACCACCAACGACAATTTTGTCACTTTTATCCTTCCTTGCAAGTCCTTTCACCACGTTTGTGGCATTATCAGATGCTACTGCTACATTTTCTTCTTCCTCATTGTCTCCCTCACCTTGTAAATTATCAACCATATGACAAGATCCAAGTTGACTAGCATGTCGTGGACATACATCTGAAGCATCTCCAAGATTGTTAGAAAGAGCAGTTTCTGCACTATTTGAAACTTCCTCTTTTATTATCTTCTCCACCCCACTACGAATCTTTTGAAAGCCATTCAATGCATACAAATATGCTTTTTCATTTTCTGCAGCTCGATTTGATATATCTCGTGAAATTCTCACCAATTCAGAGGCCCTCATAGTATACCCACGATTTGGATCAAGTTTAATTGCACAACCATGATAATCTATTGCACTTCCATTTTTTGCATCTCTTGACCATCTTTTTAAAAAATATTGAGATGGAAGTTGCATTACTTGATTGTCAAAAAGCACTCTCAACCCATGAGCACAAAGTAACCCAACAAACTCAAATTTTTTACAAGTACATAAAACTAACGTTGGTGAAGAAAATGTCACAACATGCTCATGATGGTTACCGTACATGCTTACCTTGTAATTAATCACCGCTTCAATCTCAATTTTACTCTTGATAAGACATTGTAAAGAACTTAGATACTCCTTCTCAAATTCCCTAAAAAGTGTGGGAGTATAAATCTCTGCAGCATGTTGTAGCATAGGCACAGGTGTATTCAAATGTGGCTTGCTTTGAATCATCTTGAAGTCCATTTCCAATTCTTTTTTACGCCTGTCTTTTATTGCTTCTTCAAAATTGGTAAAAAAAAAAGATAAATCCGATGATGATTTTAAGTAACCTCTCAATGAACCACTCATGCTCTCATTCCTTTGTGTACTTTCCATATTGGCAGAAAAATGGTTCCTTCCATAGACTAATGCCCACTTCTCTTTCACTTCAAACAACCCTTTCAACCATGTATTTTCTTTCAGATCATATTTACAAAGCATCTCTTCCCATGCTGTGAGAAATTCATCTTCTTCTTCACAACCATATATCACCTTACTAAAATCCTTCTCAAAAGTCTTAGAAACACAGAAAACATGAGATAAATGTTTGGCTGCATTCTGATAAATGTGCCAAACACAAAGGCGATGGTTAACCTTTGGGAAAACGTGTTCTATTGCCTTTTCCATCACTTCACATTGATCTGTCAAGATTGTTTTTGGCATTTTTCCACCCATTGCATTTAGAAATGATTCAAAAACCCACTTAAAAGATTCAATGGTCTCATCATAAAGTAATGCAGCCCCAAAAATCACAATTTGTCTATGATGATTAACACCAACAAACGATGCAAATGGTCGTTCATCTTGGTTGATTCTGAAGGAAGTGTCAAAGCAAACAACATCCCCAAAATAATGGTAGTCAACTACCATTCTTGAATCTGCCCAAAAGGCATTTGTTATTCGATCTGCAGCATCAAGTTGTATGGAGTGGAAAGATGAAGAATTCTCCATTTGTAATTTCTCAAAAAATTTTAAAATGGCTCCCGCACCTCCTATTTCCATATCTTTCTCCCTCTTTGTATGTAAATAATTATAACGAGGGAACCCCAAATCATCTACTCCAACTTGATTGGCCATAGATTCCATAATTGGTTTTGAAGCTACCTCTGACTTATTTGCAAGATTGGCCTGAGCAGTTTGGGCCATTGCCATTCTTTTATGTGACCTTAACATGTGTGACATACTTGGAGTTACAATCTCATGATTATGTTCCTTTTCAAATCGAGTTATGCAATATTGGCCATTTTCTTGCAATACAACAAGCATGTGTGCCTTACAACCAGTTCTTGTATTGTCACGATGCCTTACATTAAGTCTTCGTCTATCTTCTTCACGAAAACCTTGGGCAGAACAACAGAATATCTTATCTCTTGTTATTCCACTTTTTGTTTTATGTGCTTTGCTCTTTCTAGTGCTAAACCCAAACCTTCTGGCATATTCATTATAAAAATAATATGCATCATCCAATGTTTTAAATAGCATTCCCAATTTTGGTTCTTCTATTTTACTCACTTTCTCATCATGAACAGATTGGCACTCAGCATTTGTACGATCTTCATCTTCATTACATGGTCTAATGCAATCCTCATCTTGAGTACTCATTTCAAAATCCTACAAATTACCCTGTAACAAAAAGTTTCACATTCCTTTTGTAATTATAAACAATCAACAACAAAAGAAATAGCACAATTTCTGCTCCAAGGTCATCTAAGCACCTAGCTGATGGTTTAGCAAAATCTAGGATATACAAAAATCAAATGTATTGGGGTATCATACCAAATGAAAGAAATATGTAATGGGTGAGGGGGTTAGCCGAAGCTAACTACCTAAAGGGAATGCAAGGCATTTAAACATTGCAATTAAAGTTTAACTTTCTAAAAGCAATAAAAATCTGTTGTTTCCTATAAAAATCAATGTCTTTCACATATAATAGCATTGAATTCATGTGTAGCTTTTAGGTTCAATGAGGATGGACATTAAGTTTTCTTCTTGGTCATACCATTAAATTTTAAGTGTTATGGCCATACTTTTCAGGTACTCAGGCTTGAAATGCATAATGTTAAGGTGAAGCAATGTTTTGGTATTTGAAATACATTCTATTATGTCATACAGAATAATATCTTCACGCAATTGCTCTGCTCAATTCACTACAGAATAATCGGAGAAAATTCTGATGGTGTATTCTATGAGTTGCAAAACCTTCAAGAACAGATTCAAGCTTATGTATTTGATGGTAAATTTTCATGATACAATACTATGTTCCATTTATCAAAAAAGAAAGAAAGAAAGAAAATGATACAGAACTATGTTCTCAATTAGGAATTATTTTATATCTTTGTCATCCCTTTTATAAAATCTTTGTTGTCACAGAAGAAGAAGAATAAGTAATGGTTTTTGCCTTTAATCCGCTGGTTCGAGCTCTTATTCCCATAATCAGAGAAAATGTGATTGCATGCACAGAATGGTTCACAAGCGATCAGGGGAAACACCACATTGTTCTAATCTATAAATCGTACCACTGTATCACTCTAGACATGATACGAGTATCCCTAGTTCCAGCAAATGCAAACGAAACGAGTGCTTTAAAACAGATTATCGATCCAAATAACCTGGATAGGAATGCCGACCTCTTGCAAAACCTCAACACAGCCAACCACTAGAAACGCCAATGAAATTACAAACAACAATTCATGATAAATCCAAGACCGACGATAAATTTTTAATTTTAGTAAAGAGAACATGTAAACAAATCAAGCAAGCACTTGAAAAAGAAAAAGTGAATACACTACCTCTCTGTCTGAACCTGAAATCAAGATAGTTCCAGATGATGAGATTAGGGGTTTGGCCACTCAGAACAAAACCACTCCGCGCACAGTTTCCTCGTTTCCTACCCTTTATATCTGTCTATTCTCTCGCTGTAAGCGAGCGCTGTCGGTGAGCACGACCTTACCGCCGGTTCTGGTTGTCACCGCCGGTGCGTTTGTCTTACCGCCGCCGGCTCTGGTTGCCGGAACTCACACTGGTGCGGTCCTGGGAGAGGGTTCTCTCTGGTCTATGCGAACTGCGAAGAACGAAACCTTGAACTCGGGTCGTGTAACCCAAGAGCGTTTAGATCAAAATGAAATTCGGTTTAGAGTCCGACCGCCGTTAAGTCTGGACTCCCGTTATCTCTTCTTTCTTATTTTTTGTTTTCTTCTCTCCCTTGGTCTCCTTTCTTCTTTCTCCCCCTGCTTCCAACGCCGGACATGAGCATGAAGAAGCACTGCCACCTGACACGGATTTGCACTGTAATTTTCAGAATATTCAATCCACGAAATCTGGACCTTCTATTTACTCCAAACAATGTTGTTTCTGTTTTCTCTGTTTCAAAACAACCATGTTTCCTCGATTGCTCCTCCCAAACCTTCATTCATGTCTACCATCTTATCCTCCCACTCTAAACCCCCTCACCCGTGAACCCCGCCGGGCTTCCCACCCATCCAACCCTGCCAACATCCATCGCTCAGCCATTTTGTGCTTCCGCAATGACCTCCATAGTTGAGTTGGCTAAGGCGATTGGGGCAGCTGACCAGATGTTGTATATGCGCACAGGGAGGTCTCTACTCTCGACGCAAAGTTCGGGCAGAGGAGAAGATTGAGGCCGCGATGGAGGAAGGTGGGGAGTTGAAGTATTCATGGGGCAGTACATTGTACTGTGTTGATCATTTTGCCTTCTGAATTGGAGGAAATGCCATCAAAATATGGTGGGTTTAGGGAGAAGTTGCCAGGGGTTGGAACTGAGGATGAAAATTGCTGCATTGGGTCAGCTGAGTCGGTGAGAGATGTGAAACCCAGTGAGATTCCCTCCTCGTTGAGTTGTTGGATCTAGGTCTCAGCCCTTCTGCGATACTTATTCTATTGATTCACTTTTCGCTGTCCTCCCCATCACATTTTATGCTACATTGCTTCATTGGCTTTCTAGACTGCAACTCTCTGTGACCCAGCTCTTGGAGGAGATTGCCCAAGAATTTGGGGACTTCAGGTATCTTGTCAAATCTCTTGCTTCATCGGTATTCTCCCTCAGAGAAGTCAGAACTCAGAAGCTAGGATTTTGAGCCAACTTCAATTACTTCAATTACATCGACATGTCCGAGACTGAGAATTATGGCGAGTCCAATTCAGGACTCAAATGCTAGTATGCAAGAAGAGCAAGGGGAAGGATTTGTTCATGCTCCAGAACAATCTCATCTGAGAAATTCTAGTGAGTTATGGAATTCTTCATCTTTAACTAGTTTTCGCCCACCTCGCTCACCAGTCATATCCTGATGACGCTCAGGATTCTGATGACATGCAAAATTGGAATTTTGTTGTATTTATACAGCATGACGTCATCCTTTTCCGTTAACGTCAAACTGACGGGAGGGATGTCTTAACATAATTAATATGTGAGGCTGTTAACGATGGGTCGGATCTACCCGAAAGAACATTGAACGGATTATATCGGTTCTGCTTCTGTGGTTCAGTCGTTAAGTGATTACAGTAGGATCAGACCGGTTCATGCTGTTTCGAACCAATTCAGACCCAACTGATTACATAAAGGTTTTGTGATTTTTTATAATTTTTGTTATATTATGTTCGAAAGAATAAATTTTATAGACAATATACATGATAATGTTATTGGTTAAAAACGTAGAGAACATCTTGCTGCCTTAAAAAGATAAAATAAATCATTAACATATCAGCAACATAATCAATCGTGATATTAATGAATAATAATTATTGGAGATTGGAGAGTACATCCAAATAAAAGTATTTATCCAAAAAAAAGTACATCCAAATAAATGATTATTCTAGTAATCATGATTAATAAGAACGACCAATCACGATAAGTAAATTTATACAAATAAAAACTAGGGAGGGTCCCTGCTTCGGAGGGCTGGAATTGCAACATTTATATTAAAAAAGACAACGATTTTTTAATAAGAAACTTCCAATTATAATTATCCAAGTCTTCAAATTCATATAAAGACTTAAAAGTGATAATCATGTGTTTATTTTTCAAATATTGTTGTAGCAAAGCATCTCATATAAAAGAATACAATCATTTAGTGATAGTTCTGAGTTCTATTTCATAGTTATCCTTTGTTTTACATCAAGAACACTCAATTGACCCGGACAATAGGATTGTTCGGCCCGAGAACCGTTCAGGCAACTGGTTCCGTTTTACCCCAAACTTGGTCACTGGCCAAAAATCGTTGAATCAGTCAACAACCCGTTAACCCAGGTGATCGATCCGTTCAACGATTTCTGGCCATTTTTTATTTTTTAATTTTTGTTGTCAGAATTGGCCATCTGTTTGAACCAGACAATCGAACCATCGACCCGAAAACCGGTGGCCATAATGGTTCCGTTTTCGATTCATTTTTTCTAGATGTCAATAATTAGACAAAATAATTTTGTAGTTATAGTCATGGGAAGGATGGACAATGTAAGGGATTCCAAAACCTTAAAAGATAAATCAAAAGTGACCTTAAACACAGAAAAAATTGGCGGCAAATCCACCAAACTGGAAAAACCAAGAAAAAATGCAATCAAAGCAAACAGTATAACAATCCCAAAGTTCTACTTTGAGACGAGCTAAACATAAATGCAATCAAAGAAAGAGAAAAAGCAGATCATCTTGTAAGAAAAAAAAAAAAAAAAAACATTGCACAAGAAAACCCAAAGAGAAAACAAAAGGAAAGAAATATAATTGTGGTAAACCCTACACCATTTTGAAGGATCTTGAAGAAGAAGACCAAACACAAAAAAAAAAAAAAATAACAACAGAAAATGAAAAAAAAGGAACATACCGCACATACTCAAATAAAGCAAACAGTATAAGAAACCTTTGAATAGTGAAAGTCCAAAAACATGGTTTTCGAACCGTCGTTGACATGGACGAATAGACATTTCGGCCCGGGAACCATCCAAGCAACCAATTATGCTTTACCCCAATCTTAGTCCTTGGCAAAAAACCGTTGAATCGATCGACGACCCATTGACATGGGTGGTTGAACTGTCAACCCGTTGACCTGTTTAATGGTTTTTGATCATTTTTTATTTTTTTAATTGGGAACTGTACATGCAACTAGCTTCGTTTTATCCAAATCCTAGTCCTTGGCTAAAAATCGTTGAATCGATCAACAACACATTGACCTGGGTAGTCAAACCATCGACCTGTTCAATGGTTTTGGCCGTTTATTATTTTTAAAATTTTTGTTGTCAGAATGGGCCATCCGTTTGAACCGTCAACCCGAAAACTGGTGGTCATAACGGTTCCATTTTCAGGTCGTTGAGTCACATGCTCAAATGACATAGCATGTATGATACTGCTTAATAGACCTCACACACTCAATTTTTTGCTTGTAATTTTTGTTGTCAGAATGAGCCGTCCATTTGAACCAGACGATGGAACCATTGACCCGAAACTGGTGGTAGAAAGGGGAGACCGCCTCTATCCCTTTAAAAGATACTAATAGTATCAATTATTTGATATATTTTAGAAATCTTAATAGATTTGATATATTTTTAAGCTAAGATTATATATTTTTATAGATGATTATTAATATTTTAATTTACATAAAATAAAAATATATTTATAATTTAAAAACAAAAATATTGTTTACAAAATATTTGATAATCTAATGTATTTCTAAATATATATATATATATATATATATATATATGTATTCTAATATATTAATTGTAATGTATTTCATCATATGCATCATTAAAATATACATTTCTTATTTATTTGTAGAATTTATAGCAATTTCCCTAATTGTATGTTTTCCTATTAAAATATAAATTTCTTATTTATTTCATCTCCAAAGCATATATACTGATTTAACTTCCTCGTTGAGATTGCTTCAGAATTCATTTATGATTGAATACTATGGAAAATTGGCCATTCTCCATAATTGTATGTTTTCCTAAAAATGTGTTTTAACCAACAAAGTGATGAAGAATATTTTTTTTTTTGTGGGGGGTAAGGCGGTGTTTGAGAGAGGACTTAATCCCATTACTTAAAAATTAAAGATTATAGCTGATAAGGGCAACTAAACTATTCTCCTCCTCTAGTCTTTCTCTCTCTACTTCAATTATGGTTGTTGTTGTTGCAGAAAACCCAACAAGAAAAGAGCAGATTAGATTCATGAGACCCAAGAACCAACCCATTATAGCTCCATATCCAAACTCACAAATATCTTCTACCAATCAGTCTCCTCGCGGTAAAACCTCCATTTCTTCTCTATTCCTATCCACATTCACCTCCAACAATGAAGAAGGGTTTTGACATGTCTTCGACATTGAAGGATAAAAAGAAGAGCTTTACATCTACGACATTCAAAGGTCTTGGATGCACATGCACTTCACAGGTATCAGCACCGGAGGATATTCGGTCTTCGGCAGATTGGTAAGTGAAGAAGGTGAGGAAAAAGAAGCATAGGAATACACAGAAGATGAAAAGCCATCATGTCAAGGAGACGTATATGGGGAATCCAACTCCTTCTGTAGTTGTCCCTGATGTTTGGTGCTCTCCTAGGATCGGTTTCGCAACTGATGTTGCGCCAATTGATTGTGTTGTGTCAAGACATCCTGTACTGGGAAGAGGGAGGATTGATGGTGAGAGGATAAATCACAGATAGGTGTGCCTCCTGTTTATGTTATTCGTGGCTTTTGTTCATATATTGGGCTTTCTTTTAGGATTATAGTTGATAAGGGCAACTCTTGGAAGCTTCTTACAGAATTAGAAGACCTACACCTTCTCATGGATCAGGAAGATCTTCCCCGCTTGAAGAACCAATTTGTGATTAAAGCTTCGACGGAATCCAAAGGAGGGCCAAGGGTTTAGGAAGCAGCAATGAAGCTCTTTCATGGCCATCGAAAGGAGGAGGAGGAAAGGGAAAGATAGAGACCGGAGGTGGGGAGATTTGTTCGGTGGTCTAAAGGAGGAAGGAGATGAACAGTGTTTTTACCCTTTTTTTTATATTAAAAAAATTACCGTATTCTAGAAAGTATGTTAAAAATATTATTTTTATTGATAATAAAATCCAAAAGTTGCCCTTATCAGCTATAATCCCTAAAAATTATCAATAAGTAGTGAATCACATCTAGATCTTTTTTTTTAATGGAAATGGTTAAGTTCAAATAAAAAACAAAGGAATTTGGGTTTTATTCAAGTTTTTAGCTTGCAACCACAACAAGAATACTAACTTAAGCATTGGAGCGACCTCACCGGGTCATCCACCCCGGTCTCTCTGATCTCTGTTTTGCAGTTTGATCTAGCTCACCACGCGAACAACGTCCAGGCAACCTTCCAACTAGGAGCATTCAGATCGCGCATCATCAATTGGCGCCGTCTGTGGGAAACGATCGAAAGGTCATCCTAATCCTATTCACAATCTCAATCCCAATCTCAACCTCAATGGCATCTTCCAGCCACAACAGAAAAAGCAACATGAACGTCACTCAGGGGGGGGGGGGGCAAGAACAGCAAACAGTCACTCACCAGGGTCCCTCGGTGACCATCGGCCAGTTCACCATCCCCCTGACTGTCTCTGGGGTTCCATCATTGTCCATGTCACACACTACCCAACAGGTGAGTGTCCCGCTCCCCTAACTGAAAGCCACATTCTCGGAGCCTTCTGTGATTCCCCTTGGGGTTGGGCACTCCTAGTTTAACGACCTCGTCCAGAGCGTCCGGACGATGCAGATTCAAATGCAACAGATTCACCAATTCCAGCAATTTCAGTAGTACTATTTCTATCAACAGTACCAGCAACAATTCCCACTACTACAACCGAACCAGCCGACAAATCCACATCAAGGGCAGACTCAGAACTAGAATCAACACCGGGCTCATCAGAACGTCTGCCAGTCTCCTCCCTGTGGTGAGAGAACTTCACA